TTTTTGTTCACTGATAACAAAATTTTATCTCGAATAGCGAAAGTTTTCACTGGAATAGTAAAAGATTAAAACTTTTATATATTTTAGCGAAACCTTTCGCTGTTATAGGTAAATTTTTCTTCGTGTTTAGCAGAATGTTTATTTTAGTCAGTTTCATTACATGATTTTTTATTGAAAAGAAATTTAATTTAATCGAATTTTAATTTACCGAAATTCTCATTCAATCGAATTTTATGTGATTCGAATTTTTTAAATAACGCGGAAATTCCAATATTCACCGAATTTTAATTTGTACGAATTTTTTAGACACTGAATTTTTATTTGTCCGAAATTACAAATGTCCGAACAGAAATATTTCGGCGCAATTTTCAAAATTAACCAATTAGAAATTATCAAGAAAATCGTGATTGGTCAATTTTAAAAATAGCGCCGAAATCAATTATTTGTTCGGTCATTTTTAATTTCGGACAAATGAAAATTTGGAGTCTTAAAAATTCGTAAAAATAAACATTTATACATATAAAAATTAGGATAAATTAAAATTCGGTGACTTGGAATTTTTATTATTTAAAAATTCGAATTACATAAAATTCAATTGAATGAGAATACTGTTAAATTGAAATTCGCTTAAATTAAAATTATTTTAAATAAAAAGTCAAGTAATTAAAATGACAATGAAATAAAAATTCTGCTGAATATAAAAATTCGATAGCTAAAAATTTTATTGTGCAAAAATTCATATAAAATCCTTTTTCTCTTCAATCGAGGTTTCAGTGTAATATATTTAAAAATATTATATTTAAAATATGTATTTCAAAAATATAGATTAAATATGAATTAAAATTAGAACTTGTAATATTAAATATAGCAATATGTAGATATTATGTTTTGCTGGAACCAATTTCCATCTCCCTCTGTTATCTCACTTATCCCAAATGAGATATTATTAAAATGATTTCTGGGTTGAAGACAGTCCCCTTGATAAATCTTGTTTAAAATCAGAACGCGAATATTATTTACAAAGGCAAATAGGATGATGCTAACGAGGCGTTGATTAGGGTATTGGTGACGATGATCTAGTTAAGTACTGCTTAATTAGTCAGGTGTATTTAGTTAATCCCTGTATTTCATTAGGTTTGACTCTGCGAAGGGCGCCCGTGGCTCTCAATTTTTTTACACAAGTTTAAAGGAATTTTTTTATAATTCACTATTTTTTTAAAATAAATTTTTTTTTCTAATTTTTTTATTATCAGAATTAGAAAGATTTGATTTAATTTGACAATGAATGATTTTCGAAATTTTGATTATATATAGAAATGGAGAAATATATAATTAAATTAGAATTATCTGGAGAGAAAAAAAATTGAATAAAATAGATTATGGGATTTTTATTTTGTTAGTTTTATTGAAGTGATAACAAAAAAGGTAGATTGAGAACCTTTTACTGGTAACCCTGCTTTCAACTCCCTCGCTCTTAACTAGCCGCCAACTACGTTAAACACTGGTTTAAACTCCCTTCTTTCCTCTTGTCAACCCCTCCTCTTTCTCTCTTCACTGTGTGGTACATAACCGAAATTATTCAACCTCTCCAGCCTTTATAAACCGTAGAATAAAATTTTCTTACTCCCACTTTTTTTTATTTAAAAAAAAAAAAATTATTTTAAATTTCATTTATAATGAAAAACTAATTTTCTCATTTTTATTCTTTAATTTTATCTGTATGACAAATTTAGCTAATTGCAATTAGTTGTTTGAACAAATTTATATTTTAGAGAGTTTATTTCAGTAGCTCTTAAATTAGAAACATCTTCAAAGGTTTTGAATTCGTTATTATAGGGAAAGCTCTGTGTATTCTCGAATAGAAGTTGTATAGCGACGACGGGAGAGAGATAGAGAGAGAGAGAGAGCAGTGGATTCAGTTTGACGAGGAGTTGTGGCAGCAGTACGCGGCTGGCACCTAACTCAATTTTGTTAGTTTAGTTACATCGGTGGCTGGTAATGCGAGGAGTGGGCGTGTTGGGGTTGTTGCCGTGATTAGATTTACATGTGGGTAGAGGTGGGGGAGGGGGTGGATTGCACTACCCCCCCTCTCTCTCACAGCCCTTTATACCTCGCTGGTTAGGATTTCCCGTTTCTCAGCTCTGCAAATATTAACTTAACCGACCTTTCTTGATTTTCTAGATCTACCGCACGTCACTTGTTTCTATCTCAAATCAACCGCGGAACCAAAAAAAAAAAAAATGAGAAAAAAAACAGAAATAATGGTTTTTTTCCGAGAGACGTAGAATTCATTTTTTAAAACGTTATACATGGAAAAATAGATTTATCTGTAAGGTTTCACTGTAGTATAGCAAAAGTTTTACTTGTTTCAGTTAAATCTTTTACTATTCTAGTGAAACCTTTCGCTGTTTCAGATAAATATTTTTTCCTTTGAACACTGAGAAAATTTTGGTGCAGCAGTTGCTTTTTTTGACAGGGCTCAGATCGGGGCCGAATCAAGCTGCCCTATTAGGGAATGAAACGCCACGCCTGAAGTGGCCCTAATTAGGAAATACACATTTTTTTGGTCGCCCTGATTTGGCCCTGAAATTTTTCGTTTAAGGCAGCTGCTGTATCAGAATTTTTTCTGTGATACTATACAAAAATTCAGACAGTAAATGCTATAAAAGTAAAATCCCGTTGAGAGTTAAACTTCATTTTACACTAAAACCTTAGTTATTGAGACATGTGGTCTCGAGTGTCTCAAAAACACAAGTTTCAGTGTATTTAAAATTTTTAATTGTGTCTGGAAAATTTTATACTTTAAAACATTAATTAAATATTTTATATAAATTAATTATGTAATTATTTTTATAATTATTTATATAATAAATCGTTTATTAAGACCCAACGGTCCATTCAAAATGGAAATATACAAAAAGAAAAAAAAGAAAGAGAACAAGAAAAAAAAATAATAAAAATATTACAGTTCATACTTAAACATAAAAAACAAAAAACATTTAATAAAACACAGAATCACTCAATCCATTCAAGTATTATAAATCTCGACCATCTTCGTGAACATTGAAACAAACCTCTTTATAATTGAAGTCTTAGAGGTAGAAAGAATATCCTTCCAGAATGACTCGCGGCAATGACATGATAAAATTTCAGGGAAAAACGATATGCGTATGTCCTCAAAACGTGTACAGTCCGTCAAAAAATGGTGCAAGTCACAACCGTTAAAGTTACATAATTATTTATATAATTATTTATATAATTAATATTTTATTAATCAATTGCTAGTTTAGGAATATTTAATCGCTAGTAGTTTATTTTATTACTCTATACGGGTTATCTTTTTTTTTGTCGTATACAAGATATACGTATATATAGAATGTTGAGAATTATTTATCAAGCATGTCCCCTATTTTCGTTAAATGAACCTCGAAAATAAAAGAGGCCACGTGATCTTATCGTTCGATTATTGGCGACAATTCTCCATTACTATGTATCTGTAAATCTGTTGCCGGTTGCGTGGTCACTCAAGTTATAAGGGTATCGTGAGGTGGCATCTATTGTTGTCCCGTTTACGCTTTTCTTTCAAGAATTTCATCCTTACTCATCTCAGGGAGTGATTGTGCAGTTCGTTCTTGCGTTAACGTGAAAAAAAAAAAAATTCAACAATTTCGTTCTATATTGCGCTTTTTGAATTATTCAAGTGTAGCGAATCTATTTTCGTTTTTATCTTCAGATTATTTTTATGCAAATAAGAAATAATGGTTAATATCAAATAGCAGAGAGATTAGTTTTTTCTAATCGTTTTTTTTTTTTTTTTTGGAAAAAGTGTATTGGAAATATTGAGAATATTATATTTCAAAAACAGTTTTTTTTATGGTTCATATAAGCTGATTCATCAGAGAGAATATCAACCGCAGATATTTTTTAGAGTTACAATTAGTTACCAATGATTGAACACGTCAGAATCATAAGCTACTGAGCAAACATTAGAGAAAGGCTCAGGCAATTATTTTCGTGATTTTTTTTTCTAGAATACTAAATTTATAGTTTAAATATTTTCAAAAATGTTCGGCCATTTGCAATTTCGGACAAATAAAAATTCGGCGTAATAAATTTTAGCCTTAAAAATTCTGTATAATAAAAATTGGATACCATAGAATTTTGTTAAGTAAAAATTTGTTTAAGAAAAAATTCCGTCAAATGTTAATTTGGAAAATAAAAATTTGTCTAAAAAATAATTATAAGTAATAAAATCTCGTGCAGAAAATTTGCTAGGGTCCAGATCGGGGCCGAATTAGGCCGCCCTATTAGGGAATGAAATGCCGCGCCTGATGTGGCCCTGATTAGGAAATCCACATTTGGCCCTTATCAGGCGTGGCGTTTCATTCCCCACTAGGGCCCTGATAGGGCAATTTCTACACGGGATTCTTTAAAATGAAAATTTTAACTAATGATTTTTATGGGATTTTGCTTCTTATATAAAAAAAAACAAGCGAGCTAAAATTGAGAAAATATCATTTGCCAAAAGCTAATCGACGTTTATAGAAGGGGGAAAAAAAGAGAAAAGAAAAAAAAAAGAAAATTGAGGAATGATTTATAGAAGAGTTGAAATTCTAGTGCGATACGTGACGTAGTCTGAAAAGTAGGGGCCAGTGGAAGGATAACTTGGTTTAGTCTTTCTGGATCCACAAGCGAATGTGAGTTTGGATTGACGTAAGCGTAGGGGACAATAATCAAGAGGAAATCCTTCTTCGGGTCTTACTGCCACTCATTCATTCGTTCAACCCTCTGTCTATCGTTTCTCTGTTCCTTGTAATTTCGTTAGAGTTCTATATATATATATATCTAGCAAACCCAGTCGTTACCCAGCGATGTACTCAATTACCGGGTCTATTTTGTTTCGAGAAAAAGAAATGTTATATGGAAATTTTTTTTTAAAATTTTATAATATTAAAATCAAAAGGTTTCAGTAGTGAAATAGAATTTTTGGAAATATTTACCTTTAACTGACTTGTTAGGCGGTGGTCCATCGCGACTCCAAGGTGGATCACCGTGACCTGAGAAGTCACGAAGTTTAAGGTAAGAGATTGTCAGCCTTATAATTGAGGCCTTGTCCAATTGGGAGGTTATGGCTGCTGGTAGAGGCAACATTTTCGCTAACTCGTAGAACTCGTAGTTTTCCTTACCACGACGTGATCTAGCAGCATCTCTGCTTTTTTCTTTTCGCAGTTCAAGGATACTGCAAGGACAAAAATAATATGCACGGTTAGATTTCCTGTCAAGTTATACTTACATCTAATTAAATCTTATATTATACTATCTGATTTCTCTTCTATTATTATATCTCTTTAAATGAAAATTAATTAGCATATATACATAAGCAGAATCTATGCAATTATATCCTTAAAACAAAAATGGAATAATAGTAAATTAAAATATAACAAATTGTATTTTAATGTTTATATTCATTATAATGGAAATGTTTTGGAAAATTAGTTTAGATTTTTGTGAATCATATGCTAATTTTATACATTATATTTACAATGCGTAAATGAATTGATTAAAATAAAACAATGGTATATCGATATGTTGACAATTTATGAACAGAATACAAAATGTATTTATTTTATTCTGCATCGGAATTTTTGAATTTTATGTAAGTCAGAAGATTAGTAATTTGATCCACTTTGCAAGTTATAAGCAAAGTGGATCATTAGGGTTTAAGGATGACAGAGCAATCTGCGTCGTTTTCGTTTTTCTTAGTAGCGATTAGAACGAAACCCCTAGCTTTTTATATTTGGATTCAGGTTTTACGTGTGCATTCGTTTGAGAGTAGGTATAGCGTGAATGAGGGAGATCGGAGGCAGCCAAACGGTAACCTCGTCATAGTCCGCTGCTGAATTATTGATGCCTGGCACTCAGCACCCCCTAACCCTCCAGCTTATATCCTCGTGTGTCCGAGGCTTTACCAGGCACTAAGTTCCTCCATCGTTTCTTCATTCTCACACCCCCGCCAACACATCGCTTTCACATAAGGGACTTTAACCCCTGCGGGACTCCTGGGCCCCTTACTTTTACCGCGTCTCCCAATTTCAACCAATTTGACCGAAAGTTGGGCTTAATTTTATTTTCACGCGTCTGCAGACGGTTGCAAGCTCTTGAGCAAAATGCCAACCCAAATACCCACCTACAATTCTTTTACCTCTAGGGAAAAAAAAAAAGATAGAAAAGAAAATAAGAAGAAGAGAAGTACAGACTAACGGTTAAACCTATTCTCTTTTATTTGCACAATCAGCACAATTCAGCTATAATGTGTACCTTCTATATCACCAATTAATGGTTTGAGAAAGAAGTTTCTGATTAGATCTCTCTAAATTTTTTTCCAGAAAAGGGGTTTTAAAAGAAATATTCTTTTGCAAAATATTAGCAATCTAGGGGGTTTACATCAGGCGTCTAAGATTTGTGACATCCCTTAGTCTCTGGAGAACATTTCAATCGGGAACCTGTGGGTAAATGTCTTCAATCTGGATAAATCAGAAGGGTCGGAAATAAAGCCAATAATTTTTGCTCTATTTCACATAAGTTATAGTTGCATCAGTTTTTATCATATAGTTAAAACACAATTTTTCCATATAGATTTTAAAACATTAGGTTTTGTTTTTCTTTCTCATTTCTAAAAGGTGACTATAAAACAATGCCGAAAATTGTCCTCTGACTCTTTGAAGACTTTCTCTAAACTTTCTTCCCCTACTATATCCATGACATTCTGAAAAGTATAATACCGCCGTCTGGTGAATTGTCGAAGGGAAAGTAGCTGTCATTGTTCCTTTGGGACTGTGAGCAGTGCGCGCGGGACGCAAAAATACTATATAGAAGGATCAAGTTATAGTAAGGCGAAATGCGACACGGGCTATCACTGATGGTCTTTTCTTTGCGGACTGTATAAGTATATATATATACGGAGCAAGTATATATATAGTCTTTGTAGACGTTTCTGTTCTTCTTGAGTATTCACGACGCTTTTAAAGTACTCCCATTCAACAGCCATTAAGTCTAATGAGGGCCTAATAAAAACCCATCTTGTTTTTAACCCTTTCGGCTTAAACAGCCCGTTTTATTGTACTACCTCATTTTTTTTGTCACGGTAGAAAAGAGATAAGTAGTATAAAGACTCCGCAGAGAGTGAGAGGGCTTAATTATATAAACTGTAACTACCACAATTAATGTTTTTTTTTAGAAATAGAATTTACATGGAGAAAATTTTTGTTTGTTCTAACTGCTCTAACTGCAAATTATTGACGTTACAAAATGTAGAATTTATAACATAGGGCAACACTGATTTTGACGCAGCAAATGTCAAAGCTGATTATATTTTTTATGCTGATTACGAAAACACAGAAAATTAAAAGGCATTAAAATAAGCTGCAACGCTTATTATTTTAATCCAATTTTGCTTATTTTAATCTATTTTGGTATTAAAATAAGCAAAATTGGATTTAAATAATAAGCATTGCAGCTTATTTTAATGCCTTTTAATTTTCTGTGAATCCGTTAGCATAAAAAGTTTGCATCAGCTATATAGTTTTTAAGAAAAACAGGGTCAACGACAAAATTTTTGTCAATTCTTGAGTACCTTTACCAATGAAACAAAAGGTGCTAAAAACCTTCTAGTGGGTCTCAAATTAAAGCTTAAACTTTTGGTTACACTTCGTGAAAAGAAATTAGTTGCACTGCAATATCTGAAAATCATATTACTATCACAGAAAATTAAAAGGCATTAAAATAAGCTGCAACGCTTATAATTTTAATCCAATTTTGCTTATTTTAATACCAAAATGGATTAAAATAAGCAAAATTGGATAAAAATAATAAGCGTTGCAGCTTATTTTAATGCCTTTTAATTTTCTGTGATACCATCAGTGAATGAACAGCCAGAAACATTTATTACACTTTGTTAAAATCATTTTTTTGTAGTTCGAAAAATGGCTACCAATAATTTTCAGTTCAAGGTACAGGTAGTTTCTTTCTAGGGATTGTAGTCGGAAGTTTAAACATTAATTTGAAACCGAGTAGAAGGTTCTAGCACCATTTGTTTCATCGGTAAAGGTGCAATTTTTTTAAATCTTTGACCCAGATTTTCATAAAAACTATATTTGATGAAAACTTTTCATTAACGGATTTTTAATTAGCAGCAAAAAATCTATACCAGAATCTGCTTTGAAAGCCACAGTAAATGATTTTTCAAATTTTGTTGCCCTGTGCTAATTTGCTTGCAGATGATACAGTAGTTTGAAGATGGTACAAAATAATTGTATAATGCAAAATTATGAATGGTTCGGAGTCTGTATTATTGTACAGATTCAAAATCACCTTTGTAGATGATAAATACTATGCATTCACAATGCACAAATCATATACACTCCATGTAATTGTAAATTCTGTCAGGAAAAGTAAGAAAAAAAAATTGTAGTTATAAAAAATCCTTTTTTCTATATAAATACTCTTTTTTATCATTTAGCGGACAATTTCACTGTGATTAATTTGACGTTTTTCCAAAAGTAAATTCGACAAAACTCTACTGTGTCTAAATGGTGCTGGTGTGTGTCTAATCAATTTAATTGTTCAGACCTGTTTTGTTGTACAAAAGCGGTAACTTGATTAACATGCGAGAGGCTATTGACCGACGGTGCGGGAAGTTTTGACTAATGCGGGTCAACTGCTCTTATTGGTTGGTGGTTTAAAGGTAAAACCGGAAACAGACTCTAGGAGGCGTGGTCACCAATGCCAACATTCGATCGGATGCAATTACGGTTTCCCGGTAAATGCAAGCTTGATAGCGGTTGAATAATGTATGCTGTTTAAGCAAAATCCCAACAATATTGTATATGTCTAGCGTTTACGGACATCCCTGACATCCATTCAATGCCACGCCTAAATTATATATAGCTAATTTTCATAATTTCATAAAGCAATAAAATTAATGTTTTCAACAATTTTCGGTTTAGTATCTGGTACCCATAATTCTTTTTTTAAATTTAATAATTTTCATGCTTTTTGGCGCATATAATAATATTTTTGTTAAAAAAAAAAGAAAAACTCCGCTAGATGGCAATTATTGGACAATGTAGCTTAACCCAACCATGGAAGCGATAAATTTTCTTCATACCGATACTGAGAAGAATAAGAAATGAGTTTGTCCGAGCAACTTCACCACAAGTTCAAGTCATCCGTTTTACATTCCGCAGGTTTAGCACCTTGAATAAAAATCAGTGTGAACTGTTATGCTATCAAGTTTTGTCTTTAAAATTTTTGAAAAGAATTCCTTTGGGAAAAATGAAGTACAGGCAAACTTGGTTTATGCGCCATTCGTTAGACGCAGTCATCGTTATCGAGCGGTCACCGGAAATAACATTTCCTTTTGTCGGACTCTTAGAGAAAAGGTATATAGGCTTTTTTTTGGCCATCGGTGACGTTAGCGCCTGCTATACGAAAGGGTCCGAGAAAGAAAATTATGTCGAAACTGGAGCCGTAACATTAGGAGCATTGTATTGTAGCGTGTGAGAGTACGACTCTCTTGGGACCAGTGAAGGGTGGGCATTTGGTCCTTCTCCAACTCACGTTTCTCTGCTATATATACATTGAGACCAATACGGATACATAGAAGACGCACGAATAGAGAAAGAGAGAGAGTGGAAAGGGGGACATGCCCTCAGGTGGTGCCCCCGAACCTATGAGCAAGTCGTTTAATTGAATTAGTTGAAGAAGCCGCAGTCATGGTGTGCATTATAATTTTCTACAAAACTATATAGTCTCTTGCAAATATATTAAACCGAGGAGGACACTTCATTGAAAAGGGAAGTGGCGAGAAAGATCAAAAGCCCTGAGGATTAGAAATGGATTTTTCTAAGGGTGGTGATTGGAATTGCAGAAAGGGTGCGCGATTTTATTGCCACTTACCCTTATACTGTTAAGATTTTTGCCAACTTGGCGAAAAGAATTTCTTTTTACCCCAACAGTAACAAAAATTACCCCTTGAATATTTTTCGAAAACCATTTTTGTTTCATCTGTTTGATTTGTTAACCCATTTATGGATTTGTGTATATTAGAAATTTTAGTTTCTTGCAAATAAATTTTTGCAAACAAAATCAAAAAAAAAAATTACGTTGAACATAGAGATTGTAAGAAAAATAAAGTTCTTTAATTAAATCCTGACTGATTCATGGAAATGATTAAGATAA